AAAGAAAGAAAGAAAGAAAGAAAGAAAGAAAGAAAGAAAGAAAGAAAAACTGAGTCTCCTGCCTCTCATGAGGACTGAAACCCGGGAACTGGCCTAAGGACACAGAACAGAATGTGTGTAACCACAGACAAAAGGAGAGAAATTGAGGGAACAAGGAGCCAGCTAGAGTTTGGCCTTGAGGAACTAAATGTCTCCAAATGTGCCCCCAGCAAGCTCTCTTCCACCAAGACATGAAGATGACACCTGCCCCTTCCTAGTGAAGGTTTTGTTCTAGGTCTGTGTTTAGGTCTATGAATCAGTTTCCTTGGTCATCACCATAGTATGACAAACCAAGGCTATAATTCCCCTCTTTCACAGATGACAAACTAGGGAATTACCTGGTAACTTGCCCAAGCCCCAAAACTGGACAGGAGTGGTGCTGAGACCGGACCTCCACCACAGCCTGCACAGCAGCCCCTCCCACCACAGCTTGGTCTGCAGAGCCAGCCACTCACTGCACAGTTCAGTCTGTGGAGAGGCTCGGTGGAGGCAGGCCATCAGCATCGGATCTCTGGGCTGCCCAACCTGCAGTTCAGGGCGGAGCCCAACTTCGCACAGTCCCATGAGCCTCTGAAATCAGGCTTTCCAACAGGCACTTGATGAAATGTGCCACACCTCTGGGGTGCAGTGTAAGGTGGGTGGCAGGGACAGATGTGACTAGAGACTAGGGTGGACTCTGGCTGGAAGAGCAGGCAGACACAGAATGAAGGACCAGGGTTCCCATGTGGGACAATACCTCTAAACTAGAGGATGGCCCTCACATTCTTTTTTCTTTACAAGAGCCCTAGGCAGCTCCAGACTGGTGCAGGTGCCTCTAGGGTCACCCAGCCAAAGCTCAGAATTCACTGGGGCAGTGGCACCTGCTCATGCCCGCCTGCTGAACATGGGTAACACCGCTCACCCTGAAACATACCTTTCAAAGCAACGGACAGGTTGATATCAAATGTGTAGGGCTGGCTGTGGCAGAGATACGGCAAGGGCTTAGGGTCCTAGAGGGAAGAGTACGTCAGAGAGAAGGGCTGAGTTTCCAGCAGCCTCTGTACCCCAGCGCAGAGTGTGCCAAGTGGCAGCAATGTTTCTTCTCCAGAGACCCAATACCTGCTCACTGTTCATAGATAGGACAGGAGGTCACGTGCTAGGGGGTGCATAAGCAGGTTAGAGGTTACAGGGCCAAAGGAGCAATGCTGTAGCAATCTCAGGGAGAACAGACGTGGGAAGGGGACCATGGGAAACAAGATGGTCCATAGAGCCTGTAAGGAAAGACCAGGACAATAGAGAGGGTAAGGTAGGTGCCCTTGAAAGCAAAGTGCCTAGCAACAGTGAATCTGGTCAGGTGAATTTGGTGCTGGGACACCTGGGGAGGCAGCTGATGGCCAGGCAGAGATGCTGCCCATTGAGCAAAATGAGTATTTCCCCAAAGGACAATACAAAAATCATTTAGTGGGACATAAGATCATGCTGGGTGATTTGAACAGTTGTGTGTTTCTAATGGTCAGTGTGACCAGGGATGCTAGGTGGGAATACAGCTCTTTCCCAGTGCATGAAGGGTTAAACTCGAAGCTGCTTTTGAGGAGAAAAAATATAAACAAACCACCACCAACAAAAAACACTGATTAGTTGGGAAGGGAAAAGGGTGGTGACAGCTGCACATAAATGGTACTGGGAAGGACAGAGATAGCTTGGGGGTTCAGACAGATCTGTGAAGATGGACCTGGAGGGAGGACGTGGGCCATTGAAGGCAGGGCCCCATCAGATCCTGTGAAGGCAGAAAAGAAGAGGGAGGGTGAAGGGAGACAGACAAATGTGAAGGAGAGCAGCAGAAGGGAGAGGTGGGTGCTCTGACGGGGACAGCTAGGGAAGTTCCAAGGAGACGGAGTGAAAATCTTGCAGGGTCTTTTATGAAGGACAGATTTGCAGGGTAAGTCCCCCGGATTGTGGAAGCAGAAAGATACATGGATGAGTGAGGGAGAAAAGCGGAAGCACCACAGGCTCAGGAGACAATGCCAGGGAGAAAGCAGAGAGCCCTGAGCAGAACCTTCTGGTGGAGAGCTGGACCCAGAGACAAGGGAGAACCAGAGTGGTCATCTGACAGAGCTACGTTTAAGAGAACATCCATGAAAACTGGGGCCTACACGGTGTTGGCCTTAAGGCCATAAAGGCAGGGTGGCTGCAGTGAAGGGGTGAGACAGAGCATACTGTGACAAAGTGGGGGATGAGAGCGAGGACCACTGGCCCAGCCCTGGGCAAGGGGGTTGGGAACAGTGTCACAGAGACAATGCACTTTCCCCTATACCCTCGACTCCAATGCATTCTACAAATTAGACGCCAGAGGGAGCCATTGCACAGAGCAAAATTGTGCTATGGGGCAGCCATTCCGTTTTGCCAGACAGTTTCCTGAGTGCAGAGAACTCTAAAAGCTACAAAAGTATGTTTTCCCTGTGAACTGTTAGAGGGACAGAAACCCCTGACGTCACGGCTGCCTGACCTGCACCACGATCCTGCAAGCACGACACGTCTCTGTATTTGCTCAGAGGGCAGCAGAAAAGGGCAGAAACGGGAACTTAGAGCAGGGCTTTCAGCAGAGGGGTGTTTACCTGCTCCGGGTTGGACACCACAAAGGGCATGAGGGCATCCATGGGCACCACCCATGGGGAAATGGTGGTTCCAAAGCTCTTCCCCAGGAACGGCCCAAGAGGGACGTATTCCCATTGCTGGATGTCTCGGGCTACAGGAGAAGAGCAAGCTTAGGGTTCGTGATGGCATACAGGCCCACTCCAAGCTGCTTCTTGGCCTGCATGGACCTCTCCACAGGGCTCTGGCAAGCCAGACCTCCCAGGGAATCATGTGGGGTGTCCTTCTGTTTATGTGCTGCTTTTATTGGCTAATAAATAAAGCTGCTTTGGCCTATGGCAGGGCAGTATATAGCCAGGCTGTAACATAGATAGATAGATAGATAGATAGATAGATAGATAGATAGATAGATA